CGTTCAAAGAGTTTGCAGACACAACTTGTGAGAGCAATAGGGCGAAAGTCCTTAGGGGATGTTCCCAGAGATCCCGGTTTGCGAACAGGGAGGACAACGGCATCAAGTCAGTCCTCAGGGACTGACGACGACTCCCAGATCCGATTATACAGACTCAGTAAATACTGAGACGTGCTCGGAGGGAGATGGTGAAGCATCTCATAATGAATACCATCGGAGCCCGCCGCCGTAGAACCGCAGAGGGCCAGGGCAGAACGAAGTTCAGAGAGGGAGAAGGGATCATTATAGGGAAGCTGAAGATGAGTGCAGAAATCTAAAGGACGAGACTCAAGGACAGGTTTACGAAGAAGGAAAGATTGGGGAAGATGAAGACCAGAGCTAACAGAAGAAAAATGGGAACCCAGTTCGGAAGCGACCTGCAACGGGTCCGCCACAAGAGTATCATGGAGGTGAAGGACCGGTGAAACATCGGGAACGAACTTACCCGCTATCTTGCGGATACGCTTCCAGATCTGGGCCAGAGGGGTCTCGGACGTAATTGTTGAGACATAAGATGCCCAACATTCACGTTTAGCCGTACGGATGGCCCTACGGGCCACCGCACTCGCTTTCCGAAAGAAAAGAAAAGAATCGGTCGTCTGCCTACGGCGGTGCCTCTTCCAGGCTGCACGCTTACAGCGGACAGCCCGAGCACAGTCCGCATTCCACCAGGGAACGCACTTCCGTGGACCCCGAGAGGAAGAGCGAGGAATAGAGCGGAGGGCAGCGTTGAAGACAGTGTCATGAAAAAGGAGGAGAGCGCGAGAGAGAGGCAGAAGGGAGAGGTCAGGGAGAGCAGCACTGAGGGTAAATAGGGTCCAGTCTGCCTTAGCAAACTGCCACCTAGGGAAAGAGAGGGAAGGGCGAAAAGAGAAAAAGGAAACAAGGATGGGGAAATGATCACTTCCATGGAGGTCATCAAGAACCTGCCACGTGAAATCTAAGTAAAGAGAAGAAGAGCAGAGAGAAAGATCAAGACAAGAAAGGGTGCGAGTCCGAGAGTCCAAATGAGTGGGCTCACCAGAATTCAGAAGAGACAGGGAAGAAGAGAGGAGAAACGGCTCAAGGAGGCGACCCCGGGTATTCGTCAGAACGTCACCCCAAAGAGAATGACGACAATTGAAGTCACCCAGCAGGAGCACAGGCTCCGGCAAGGAGTCCAGGAGGTGTTTCAAATCAGGAAGAGAGAGCGGGACACTCGGGGGGAGATAAATGGAACAAACTGTGTACCATTTCCCCACAAAGAAACGAGCAGCAGAACAATGGAGAGGCGAAGGAAAAAGTAAAGGAACAAAGGGAACATCAGCCCGAATCAAAAGAGCAGAAGAATTAGAAGCCCCAGCAATGGCTGGGGGGGGGGAGAGAAAGGAATAGCCACGAAAACGACCAGGACGAGCACCAAGCATTGGCTCCTGGAGACAGACACAAAGGGGCGAAAACCGCGAAATCAGAAGTTGGAGTTCGAGGAAATTGGCGTAATAACCTCGAACGTTCCATTGAAGAATGGACAACGACGAGAAGAGAAAGGACAAAAACAGAGAACAAGGAAGAAACAAAGGCGAAAGAGCAACAGAGCACGTTAAAGAATATCAGGGTCGGGATCAGGGTCAGCAAAGTTAGGGTTAGGGGGCATGGGTAAACTGAGCAAAGACGGAGGGAAGGAAACGGGAGAACAGAGCAGAGGTGGGCGGGCAGGGTCTGGAGGAGGAGGAGGAAGAGGAGGAGACAACGGAGAGGAGCCGTCAAGGACAGCAGCAGGAGGAGGGGGAGTAGAAAGAGGGGAGCGCACCCCAGCAAGAGCAGCAACCGAAAGGGAAGCAGGGGCCAAAGAAACCTCCATAGCAGGAACAGGGGGCACAAGCACTGAAACGGGAGGGGAAGGAGCAACAGAGCCAGGAGGAGGAGCTGAGGAAGAAAGCGAAGCCTTCTTACCCGCCGGGGAAGAGGAAGGAGAGGAGCCAGGCTTACGCTTCTGACTTAAAGAGACCGGTGTCCCAGCAACTACGTACCGGGCAACGGATTCCAGTGTCTCAACAGGAGAAGCCGAACGAAAGCACACACGACGGCCGTTAGGAGAGCGATGGACATCCGCCCGCACCGACAGGCGGTGGGGAGAGCCGATAGATGGAGGAAGAGGATGGGAAGGAGGATCGGAGGGGGACGAGGAAGAAGACACAGAAGACACGACAGACCGGGTAGAAGGAAGGGGAACCCCAGACAGAGGACCAGGAGGAGGATCCTTCGGGAGAGAACCCAAAGGAACAGAGGAGGGGGCAGTGGGCGCATCAGGGTCCAAGGCCCGGAAACGGTTGTGAGTCTGAGGAAGGCGGGAAGGACGAGGAGAGGAAAGAGCGCAACACGCGAGCATAAGAGATATTAGCATAAGGCGGGAGCCGGCGAACCTGGCGCCTCGCCTCACGAAACGATAAACGCTTCCGGTGCTTCAGGTTGAGGACGGCTGCCTCAAGCTTGTAATGGACACACGCACAGGAGAAGGTAGGATGGGCCTCACCGCAGTTGAGGCAACGAGCCTGGGGAGAAGTGCACTCCGACTTAGAGCGACCTTCGCCACCACACAAAGGACAGAGACAGTCCCGGAGCAGCGGAGGGCACCATGCCCAAACCTCCAGCACTTGTTGCAGAGCCGAGGAGAAGGAATGTACTCCTGGACAGAGCACCTGGCACCAGCAAGAATGACAGAGGGTGGAAGGGTCTTACCATCAAAGGTAATCTTCACAACCCGGAGGGGTTGACGGCGACTACCACGAGGGGGACGAGTAAACGTGTCCACCTGGAGAATAGAATGGCCCTGGGCAGCGAGGATATGTCGAATATCGTCGTGGCAGTCGCGCAGGTCCCGAACACCGGTCGCAACATGGGGCGGGAGCAAAATAGTGCCAACACTGGCATTCAACTGAGCGTTCTTCGAGACCCGAACGGGGGTCTCGCCAAGGCAGGATAAGGCAGCCAAGCGGGAAGCAGCATCCTGAGAAGGAGCAGCAACGACACGTGTACCGAGACGAGTGGGGTTGAAAGTAATGGAGGCATCCACGGAATCAATGAGATGTCGATGAAGGGAGAAATCGTCAGGAGGTGCAGAATCAAGAGGGAGGAGATCAAAATATTTGGCCCACGAAGCGGGACCAAACAAGGCTTGATAGGTAGCAGAACTGGAAGGAATCGAGCGAGGGCGGCCGTGACGAGGACGGCGGTGAGAACCCCCAGAGAGAGAGGGGTTAAAAGGCGCAGTAGTTACAACTAGAGAAGGAGCCGCGCCAGGGGATGAGGTAGTCACCACTGGGGGCTTGGGGCTCGACCCAACCACAGAGGAGGGAGGGGAGCCAGGGGAAGGAGTCAGAGAGGCCAAAGGAGGAGCAAGGTCGGGGCCCAATGCAGCGGAGGCTACAGAGCCCGGTCTTCCAATACGGACCGACTCGGGGGCTCGGTCGCCCACCCCACGAGCCTGAAAAGGTAAGCCAGAAGCAGCCGAAACAGGGGTTATCATCTTGACGAAATTAAGAATTCACTCACGAATGTGCCCCCACACCCACCATGGAGCCACAATTAGAGGCAGGACACCCAACAAGAAGCTATCGCCGATCTTGTCGGGGCCTCCTAGGGGTGCGTCGTGAGTATACGCCCCACAAACGCCACCTTAAGAAACCGACAGTCCGTCGAGATCGGGTTCAGTGACGAAGTGGGGATTGACAATAAAAGGTTCCCCTCGCTCTCGACGTCGGGTACCGCAGTTCTACGGGTGCATGAGTATGCCTCCTCAAGCACCCGGGCGTCAAAATAGAAGAAGTCCATGGAAGAACCAGAACGAGCAAAAGGTCGGCAGGAAACGGCAAGCAGATAGGAGAAGAGGGGGGAGAAAAACGAAACAGAAGGAAAAGGAAAAGGTGCCCAGCAGAATTGGAGAGGACGGCAGCAGGAGCACAAGGCTAGAAAAGGACCGGACTGTCCTAAGGAGCATCACACTCCAGCAGCCGCCCACGAAGCCCCCACACGGCGACAACGAGCTGAGCGGGGAGGGGGTTAAGAGACGTATTTAAGGCCTTCGTGGCAGTCTACGTTTTCATTAGCAACATATGGTGTAGGAGGATGATTATGCTGATGCCGACACTGAAGGGGACCGCTAGACCCGTGCCAGGATCTCCCAATACGAACTGCACCTTTACTGTCTGCCGCCTGGACTACACTTCGCACAGTCCAAATGTAATTACAGGTAATATGTGCTTCTTTAGACTATCCAGTGAGCACAGTATCCAAGATAAGCGTTTGTTCAACTTTGAATCTTCTTTGCTCAAAGTGTACTTTGGAAAGGATTTTATACAAGTTTGAATCCGGTCGGGTTGAAGGAAACTTTGAAACCCGGCCAGTTAAAATAGCTGGGATTAAACTTTACACTGAAGTAGTCTATTGAAACTAACAGGTATAAGACCGAGCCGTGGACCTGTAGGGCTGGTTGTATTTTTTTTTTTAACCAACTGGTGTTACCCGAGGACTAGTTTTTACATTCCTGGCCAAGGTGGCGAATGTTAAGTAATATCAGAGGCGAACCAAAGACCAAACCGAGTCTGGGCCAAGCGTAGCCAGAGTAACCGAGCCCAATCTCTAATGTGACCATGGCCCAAGTTTTAGATTTTTTAGTAAACAGTTTGTCAAGGTTTAGTATCCAGGATCTAGGGATATCGCCAGACAAGGAGGTAGTTTGTACCTCTAATTTTAGTCCTGGCACATTCATCCTTAAGTGAATACAGTTACAACATTTTTAATTAAATGGCCGGATTAATGCACCAAATTCCATAGTTCAAAGGAGGACTTAAACTGAACTATCCAAGATATTATAATCTTAAGAAGGCACCCCCCCCCCCCCCTCCAGTGTAAAAAGAAAAGTTTGTATATTTTTAAATAACCACTACAGTCTTTTTGCAAGGAATTAAATTAAAAAATATTCTAATTAGAAACTTTATATAGTTCAAAACAAGTGAAACCGTTTTAGAGTCTGACACAGGTACTTATAATGGAAAGAGCAGAAAACCCGTGAATGTAGTGTAGGCCTCGTTGCCTGGGTGCTCGTAGATAGCCCCTTGCTGCAGCTCTAGAGATACCCTGTCCATGCTGCGAAGCTCCAGAAACACTGAATTTGACCCGTGCTCGAAGCTCTGCCTTGTGCCATAAGCAGTCACCTGGTAAACGGTGTTTTTTGTTAGGGCCACTCTGTAAAATAATGAATTAATGAAGTAACTTTTAAATGAAGTATATAATTTCGTATTTCATCTAGTGTAAAAGGGGGTGTGCACTATACATACGTGAAGTCACTGTTCCGGCCGCCTACAGCATGGAACTGGAAGAAATAACCGCCGTGGTACGGTGCTATGAACTCGCTCGTATCAGGGTCCCAGGCGTTGCCGATGTTAGTCAACACGTCCTGCGTGCACGTGAGACTTCATTTTATGCAAATAAAATTTACGCGATAGTAAAGTAAATTTACTCAGATAAATATCTTAACGAATTTGAGGGGGGGGGAATTTTTTTTAGGCTGGTAAATTTTACCCAATGTAAATTTAATAAGTCATAGAATATCGTTTAATAGGAGCTATTCTAACTTTCAAAATATACGAGGTCCGCAAATTATGGTCGTTACCCGGAAGTGAAGATGAGCGAAGGCGTAGAGGGTCTCCGTAGCTTTCCTTACAGTGAAGGCCACAGGTCGCCTGGAATAAATGATAAATATTTAAAGAAACCAAAATTGAAGATATATTATTTATATATATATATATATCATGATTAGAGTTCATGCAAATACTTACAACGGCGCTGGGAAGTAAGCAGACTGCAGCGATGGTCCGTAAAGTTGTCTCGCTTCCACGGTAGATTTGTCACTTCCTTCACTTATAACTATAGTAGCATTAATAGAAACATACTTTTGGAGAGTTGCATTCACGAGGGTAGTAACAGTAGCATCTGTGGTAGTAGCATCTGTGGTAGTAACATCTGAAGCCACAGGGGTTGAGAAGGGACTTTGCGCTTCGATGACACCGGTCACCAAAGCAAGGATAACGCACGTCACAAGAGACTTCATTATCTGCAATTAAACATTACTTTTGGCGATACCATTCCGTGGAGTTATTAACGAAGCATAAAACCTGCAGCGACTATGGAAGCCAAGCATTTAATTTTTTTAGATATTCATGCTTCAGTAAATCTTCAAACTCCAAGTTCAGTAGTTCATTAACCTTCCAAACTTTTTTAATGATGTTGAATATATGACATCTTCAAATAGCAACAAATACAAAATTAAAAAAACACACAGACAAACACTAGACCCCTACCACGGTGCTGGATAAGAGCTACACTGACCACTAGGCCGTCAGTGTCTCTACTTGTAACCTCGTATTAAGAATGCACCACACACGACTTCTCTCTAACGTCCAAGTAATAGTAACGTCTTGGGCGAGTTGCCAAAACGTAATAGAGATCGAACCGCCATCTGTTGTTCGGGTAAGACATTAGGAGTGGAAAATGCTGCACAGCACTATGCCGTCTGTGATCATTTATTTAAAAAAATATAAACTGAAGGTAAAAATATTGTTGAATTCATAGTTATACTACACAATAGACACGCAGGTGTTGGGCTTATTAGCTTTAACTTTATACCCACAAAGATTTATTCACAGATGACTGAGATATCAGTAAAAACGATCACCACTTCCCTACCATTCAATAAATTATAATCAAAAAGGTTCCTAATAAAAGGAATATTTTTCTGGAGGCGTAAATCAGTAACAGCAGTCTAGGTGAGCCCTTCGTGTTACTGATAATCTTTCCTAGAGATCGTACGGTATCCTCGTTGTGAATCTATCAGTGAATTCAGCACACTAGAGCTCCGTTCCTAAACTTTAACTGGCAATTTTATGTTCAATGAATGACAAGAATGATGGAAACTGACCCACGGAGCAAATGCAATATATATAATAATAATAATAATAATAATAATATTAATAATAATAATAATAATAATAATAATGGAAAAAATTTACTACAATGTCGAAGTGCTTAAATTAGAAGTGAGGGAAAGACCCAATACGAAAAGACCCAGTAATATGAACACTGTATACACCACCTGGAGAACATTGTATACAGCGCATGGAGAACATTGCAAACAACTCATGGAGAACATTGTATACAGTACCTGGAGAACATTGTACACAGCACCTGGAGAACATTCCAAATAGTACATTTCATACAGCTCCCTGATAACATTGTATTCAGCACCTGGAAATTATTGAATACAATACCTGGAGAACATTGTATACAGCTCCTTGAGAACCTTGTTTCAGCACCAGGAGAAAAATGTCTGCAGCACCTGGAAAACAGTTTATACAGTACCCTGAGAACATTGAACAGAGCACCCAAAGAACATTGTATACATCACCTTGAGAACATTGCATATAGCCCCTGGAGAACATTGTATACAGGAGCTGGAGAGCATTGTATTCAGCACATGGAGAACATTGCGTATAGCCCCTGCAGAACATTGTATACAGGACCTGGAGAGCATTGTATTCAGCAGTTGGAGAACATTGCATATAGCCGCTGCAGAACATTGTATATAGCACCTGGAAAACATTGTATACAGCTTCTGGAGAATATTGTACACAATACATGGAGAACATTGTATACAGCACCTGAAGAACGTTATACACAGCACCTGGAGAACATTTTATATAGCACCTTGAGAACATTGTATACAGCACCTTGAGAACATTGTATACAATACCTGGATAACATTGTATACAACACCTTGAGAGCATTGTAAACAGCACCTGCAGAACCTTATATACATCACCTGGAGAACATTGTATGCGGCACCTGGAGAACATTGTATGCGGCACTTGGAGAACATTGTATACAGGTTCTGGAGAACATTGTATACAGAACCTTGAGAACATTGTATACAGCACCATGAAAACATTAAACATAGCACCTGGATAACATTGTATACAGTAAATGGAGAACCTTGTATACAACACCTGAAGAACATTGTACACAGCACCTGGAGAACATTACATACAACTCACGGAAAATATTTGTATACAATACCTGGGGAATATTATACACAACACCTGAAGAACATTGTATTCAGCACCTGGAGAACCTTGTATACAGCACTTGGAGAACATTGCATACATCATCTGGAGAACATTGTACGCGGCATCTGGAGAACATTGTATACAGCACCTTGAGAACATTGCGTACATCTCATTCAGAACTTTATAAACAATACCTGGAGAACCTTGCTTTAAGCACATGGAGAACATTGTTTACAGCACTTTAGAACATTGTATATAACACCGAGAGTATATTGTATTCCGCTCCTGGAGAACATTGTATTCAGAACCCGGTGAACATTGTATGCAGCACCTGGAGAATATTGTATAAATCATCTGGAGAACATTGTTTTCAGCACCTGGAGAACATAATATACAGCACCTGGAGATCATTGTATACAGCACGTTGAGAACATTGTATTAAGCACCCGGAGAATATTGTATACAACACCTGGAGATCATAGTGTACAGCACTTGGAGAACCTTGTGTGAAGCACATGGAGAATATTTGAACAACAACTTTTGGAGAACATTATATACAGCACCTAGAGAACCTTATATACATCACCTGGAGAACATTGTATGCGGCACCTAGAGAACATTGTATACATCACCTTTTGAGAATTGTGTAGATCCCCTTGAGAAAATTTAAACCACACTTGGAGAATATTGTTTTAAGCACCTGGAAAAATTGTTTACAGCACCTTAAGAACATTGTTTATAGCTCTTTTGGCAATGTAATCAACACGTAGAGAACATTGTATTCAGCACCTGGAGAACATTGTATACAGCACCTGGAAATCATTGTATACAACACCTGGAGATCCTTGTATAGTGCACCTGGAGATCCTTGTATAGTGCACCTGGAGAACCTTGTATAGTGCACTTCGAGAATTTTGTAGAGTGCACCTGGAGAACATTGTATACCGCACCTGGAGAAAAGTTTATACAGCACTTTGAGGACATTGTATGCAACATCTGAGTAACATTGTAAAACGCACATTGAGAATATTGTACCGAGCACCATCACAATATTGGATACAGTTCATGGAGATCATTGGATACAATTCATGAAGAACATTGATACAGAACCTGGAGAACATTAAATTCTGTACCTGGAGATCATTGAATATAGAACCTGGAAAACATTGAAGAATACAGCACTTGGAGAACATTTTATATAGCCCTTGTAGAACATTGCATACAGGACCTGAAGAACATTGTTTACAGCACAAGGAGAACATTGTATATAGCCCCTAAAGAACATTGTATATAGCACCTGGATAACATTGAATTTGGTACCTGGTAAAAATTTTATCCAGCACGTTGAGAACATTGTGAACTGCACCTGAAGAGCATTGAATATAGCACCTGGAGAACATTGTATTCAGCACCTTGAGAACATTGTACTCAGCTCTTTGAGAACTTTGTTACATCCCCCTGCAGAACATTGTATAAATCACCTGGAGAATATTTTTTACAGCACACGGAGAACATTTTATAAAATCCTGGAGAAATTTGTGTACAGCATCTGAAGAATATTTTATTCATTACTTTAAGATCATTGGATTCAACACCTGGAAAACATTGTATACAGCATCTGGAGAAAATTTTACCCAGCACCATGAGAACATTGTAAACAGCATCTGGAGAACATTGAGAACAGCACCTGAAAAACATTATACACAGGTCCTGGAGAACATTGCATACAGTACATGGAAAACATGAAATACAACCCCATGGAACAATTTGTACAGCATCTGAAGAACTTTGTATACAGCATCTGGAGAACATTGTATACAGCATCTAGAGAACATTGTATGCAGCACCTTGAGAACATTGTATACAGCACCTGGAGAACATTGTATACAGCATCTAGAGAACATTGTATACAGAACCATGAGAACAATGAATAAAGAACATTTTGAATATTGCATACACCACCTGCATAACATTGTATACAGCACCTTGAGAACGTTAAACACAGCACCTGGATAACATTTTATACAGCACCTGCAGAACATTTTATGCGGCACCTAGAGAACATTGTATTCAGCACCAGGAGAACATTGTTTTCAGCTCCCGAAGAACATTGTATACAGCACCTAGAAATCATTGTGTACAACACCTGGAGAACCATATATACTGCACCTGGAGAACATTGTATACCGCACCTGGAGGAAAGTTTATATAGCACTTTAAGAACATTGTATGCAACATCTGGGTAACATTGTATAAAGCACCTTGAGATCATTGTACAGAGAACCAGCAGAATATTGTATACAATTCATCGAGAACATTGATACAGAACCTTCAGAACATTGAAAACAACACTTGGGGAACATTGTATATAGCCCCTTCAGAACATTGTATACAGGACCTGGAGAACATTGTATACAACACAGGGAGAACATTGTATATAGCCCATGAAGAACATTGTATATAGCACCTGGATAACACTGAATTCAGTACTTCGAGAATATTGAATACAACACCAGGAGGACATTGTACATAGTACTTGGAGAACATTGTATACAGCACCTTGAGAACATTGCATACAGCTCTTTGAGAACATTGTTACAGCCCCTGCAGAATATTGTATAAATCACCAGGAGAACATTTTTTTTACAGTACACGGAGAACATTTTATAAAATCCTGGAGAATATTGTGTACAGCATCTGAAGAATATTTTATACATCACTTTACGAACATTGGATTCAACACCTGGAGAACATTGTATAAAGCACATGGAGAACATTGTATACAGCATCTGGAGAACATTGTATACAGCACCTGGAAAACCTGATATATACCTCACCTGGAGAACATTGTCTGAGGCACCTGGAAACATTCTATAAGACACCTGGAGAACTTTGTATACAGCACCGTGAGAACATTGTGTACATTCCCTTGAGCACATTATAAAAAACAGCTGGAGAATATTGTTCTAAGCAACTGGAGAACATTGTTTATAGCACCTTGAGAACATTGTATACAGCACTTTAGAACATTGCATACAACACCTAGAGAACAGTGTGTACAGCACCTTGAGAACATTGTATAAAGCACTTTAGAACATTGCATGCAACATCTAGAGAACAGTGTTTACAGCATCTGGAGAACATTGTATTCAGAACCCGGCAAACATTGTAGACAGCACCTGGAGAACACTGTAAACAACATCTGAAGAACATTGTATACGGCACCTGGAGAACCTTGTATACAGCACAGTAGATCATTGTATTCAGCTCCTTGAGAACATTGTAATTACCTAAGTGTAATTACCTGAGTGTAGTTACAGGATGAGAGCTATGCTCGTGGTGTCCCGTCTTCCCAGCACTCTTTGTCAT